ATGTAACGCATTCTCATGGGATCCGAATTCCAAAAGTTATCTTCTTCATATTGAGAATAATCATCGTATCAAGTAACATTTATCTGCTAACAATGAACGAATGATATCATTTCCTATTGGACAAATAAATTTATAAGTTTATATCTTCTTCTATGTAGGAGAAAGCATACAATATAAAGGCTAACACATACTACTTTACTAATCCACTGCTCAATATATATTTCGGTCATACAGTTATATGTATACATAATTATTCTGAAGTAGATTGAAATGTTCAGTTGATTATTAACATATTATTATTTGTCGCTTGGGTTCCTAGTGAAACAAAGGGCTTCAGTAACACGTCTACAGCGCACTCTGCTCTCTGCAGTCTTTTGAACCTGGCTCCACGACTGCCCACAAGCTCTCACTTCTTCCCCACACCATCTCCTTCATGTCACTCTCGCCTTGGACGCCCAACTCGTCATTTCTCATCTGGGTTCCACTCGATGGCCTGGCCTGACGCGTGATGTCGCTAGTCGGTCTTCTCAGTGTATGCCCAATCTATCTCAACACTCTTCTGCATATTTGTTGGACGATGGGTTCTTGTTTTGTTGGTTTGCTTTCAGGCCAGCTAGAGTTCCTTGTTGCTTATTCTTCCCATTCTGGTCATCTGAGCTTTACTATCGAACCAGTGTAGGCAGCAGTTGATGAATATCTCTAGTTTGTTGGAAATCCCTTTCGTAATACGCCAAGTAGCTGAGGCATACGGAAGCACTGACTTGACTGGGTTGGTGTTGAAAATCCGGAGCATGTTCATGCTTTATGTTGCGTGCAGTGCAGAAGATCTCCACATTGGTTTCAGGCCAATGAACATCTGTTTTGCTGTCTTTCCGATTGTGGCTTTGACGTCTTCGTCTGTGCATCGCGCAGTTGAAACGGTGCTGCCTAGATAGGTGAAAGAGACAACTTGCTTTAGGTTTCTCCCGTTGATAGTGATTGGTGTTTGTTGTTGTTGGTTTGGTATCTTCATCATCACCTCTGTCTTCTCTACATTCACTTGAAGTCCCATCTTCGCTGCCTTGCCTCGCATCTTCTGTCAACTTGTTGGTTTTCGACTGTAGATCTTCAAGTTTGTGTGACGTTACATATAAATTATGAAAGGCGAAATCCAAATCTTCTAGGTTCTTTTCCCCGGTCCAGCCAGCGTATTTCCCTCTTCTTGCTCCTCACTGTTGTCTGCTGCATGATCCAGTCGACCACAATCAGGAAGATCATGGGTGATAGTAGGCAACCTTGTTTTACTCCAGTCATCTCTTCAAAGTCTTCATTGAGATTCCTATTGTGAATTACTTGGCGTGTGGCGTCAGATGATTATGCGTGTTCACAAATGGCTCATTTCAAGTAAACATATCTCATATAGGATTCTTTTTTCTACTAAAATGCTCAAGCTGTATGCTCACTTTAATAGTCTCAAGATGGTTGCTATTATATTTCACAGTTCTTGTCTCGTTTTCGATTACTTTAAAAATGTTGTACGTTATCCAGGTGATTTTCATATCTAAGATGTTAAGAAACTAGGAAGTCATTATCATGCTGACGTATTTCACTTTTATGTGTTATATATGTCTTTCCCATGAAAATTGTTGTGTTTATAAAAACTTTTTCATGCCTAAATTTTCATTCACACTGTAATAGTGAAGTTCCTTTGTAAAATCCTATGAGACAATATCAACTAGGCTTTGTAAC